TTATGGGGAAATTTGATTCGGGATGCGATCAAAAATCGGGTCGCAACCAAATTCAGAGGGGTCAGAACGGATTAACCGTATTTACACTGAACCTTATGGGGAAATTTGATTCGGGATGCGATCAAAAATCGGGTCACGACCAAATTCGGAGGGGTCAGAACGGATTAACCGTATTTACATTGAACCTTATGGGAAAATTTGATTTGGCTCACGACCAATTTGGTTCGCAACCAGAGTTGCGGAATGAATTAAAGTCGTGAACCGAGGTACCACTGTATAGTCCTTAACTCCATACTCATTTTATTGAGTTTATTCAAGCCACATATGAACATTTGCTACCTTCAGTCCCTCAAGACGTAGGAACCTAAAGTAGCAACTGAGCACAAGGAATAACAGCTAAGGTTTTCTAACCACTATGGAAGGATTTGTCTTCATGGACTTTGTATTCTACAGAAAGGCAGGATTTAGGTCAAACAACAAATCAAACAAATATCAAACAATTCCAACAATTCTATGATAGGCAATAAGATCTCTGTGGACTCCAGAATCTGTTTAAACAGAAATGACATGGAAGATATCTATTATTTATCTATCTAGCAATCAAATGTATACCCTTGGATTCAAAACTCTCAGCAGTTTTTAAACCAAACACTATTAAGTGGGTTCTCATCTTCATGTCTTGGGTACACATATCTAATGAATAATGGAGTGAACAGAACTCAAACTTCCAAATTTAGTGAATGTTCACCTTTAGCAGGCTAGAAGTGCAACAATATCCTTATGCAAATAATACATAAACCGGAAAGGAGTGGAACCTATGAACCCTGATCCTCTTGGGACCACTCAGAGCTTTGGAAACTGCTCTTACATTCCCCCTCGAAGTTATCACCAAAGTATAACTGAAGCTAATGTTACTTTTTCAGAGTGAAAATTATTACAACTAAGGGGGAATACTTGGACTAAAATTGGTAGCAGCTGTCCTGGCTTCATCTGTTATTTCTGCACATCAATTCTGATACATGCATACCCTTTTATGTACAAATCCATGTGATTTAAATGCAGAAAACCAGAATGTGCCACACATGTGGACTAAATGCCTGTGTAAATTGCACGTGCCGCAAATACAATATGGGGAATGAGCAAGCATTAAAATTTGCTCATTCAAGTTCACAGACTTTTTCATTCCATGTCATGTTGCATATAATAAGATAAAACACAGATGGCATATAGGTTTGCTCATACCCACAGATACATTCATAATACCCCTCCAATACGGAGAATTAGCTGCCAAAGTTTACTTAGGTATCAATCTTTATTTATTGAAAGTAAAGTAAAATGAAATTTATTTGCATTAAAAATTCAAGGAACAAAACACACACCACACTGTTATTTTTTTTTAAATCTTACCATTTTCCCAATCATCATGACATAAGGTCCAGCATGTTGATTTACAGCCAGAAAATCCAGTAATCTCACATACCAAAAGATTATATTCAGGCAGTAAGTTAGTCTTCCAGCAACGAAAACATAATTTACTTTGTAAGTATCTTCATTGAAGTTCCCTTTTGCTCCAAATCTTAGTACAAAACCAATGAAGAAAGTGATAATGGCTATTGTATCACTGATGTTGAAGTAATCATTGAACCACACTTTAACCTTCTGACTAATCTTCCCAGCCTCTGACATAAAGATCTGTATTAAAAATAACAAGAAATTGGGCATGGTCAACTTAGTTTCATGTCAAGGTCATTAAGGGCCTGATTAAATGGCCATTACATATGCACCACAGCAATTCCTGTTGAATGCCAGAAAGCAGAAACCAAACAATCATGGCTTGTAGTGGTTTTACAAACTAGGGTTATAAGGCAGCAGTTTTTCAACTGGGAGTCTTATTATTGTTGTTACTGTTGTATTGTAATCCCACCTTTCATATATTTTGGCCAACTCAGGGCAATGAACATAGTTAATACTCCTGCCTCCTACTTTCCCCACAACAACAACCCTGTGAGGTGGGTTGGGCTGAGAGAGAAGGACTGGCCCAAAGTCACCCAGGTGGCTTTCATGCCTAAGCCAGGACTAGAATTCACCATCTCTTGGTTTCTAGGCCAGCACCTTCACCACTATACCAAACTGCTCCCCCGGGGGGCCCTAGGATATTTCAAGGAGGCCACAGGTGAAAAACATGTAACGGGGAGGCCACGGCAAGTGCCAAGTGGGCCACAGAGAAGCAAAGTATATTATACTGCAAATATTGTCTTGTTGATGCCAGAAAATGCACCTGTTACCGTCCCATGTCCATATCTGGTAATGGGACCTGGACAGGGGGTCCGCAGGAGAAAAACAAGGTCAGAAGGGGGCCACAAGTGACAAAAGGTTGAGAAACACTGTTATAAGGCACACAGGTTTGTATTTGCCCTGGTTTCAGCTGGCCAACATTTAATACAAAGCCATGGTTATGGCTAACAAGGGAAAAGGAGAGGCATGGCATTTAAAGAAAATGAAGGAGGGCTACGAGCTCTGGTTTTCCTAAATCCTGTCCATGTTGGAGGCAATTAATAAATAGCACAAAATAGATATAAAGCATGAAATTGTCTAAGGGGGCAGCATATGAATCCCGCAATAAATAAAACTAAGCAAATAATAAAATCCACTGCCCTAATGTTAACATTGAACAGACTATAGATTACCAATGAGATACATTATTTGCATCTTATGAATAGGCCAGTTCAGACAAACTTTGCAGTATAAAGGGACAAAAGATTATGGTGGAACAAGCCCCATCTTTCTTGCCCAGTCCAGCAATGTAGCGTGGTCATTTCTGGACCTATAAGATGTTTGTAACTTCTACATCAGGCTTTGCGTATACATGTGTAGATAAATCACACGGATGATCCCCAAATTATACGATGGAGCCTTGAAAGTACAGCTTAAAGACACTTAGGCTTTTTAGCTCCACAGACCCTACGCAAACTTTATACACGGGCCCAGATGCCTGTCCAGCTTTGAGTAATTTATTCTGGGCTGGCAAAGTACAACTTGTGCATACCCTCTTCATACAACAAATTCTTTTCCACTGATTTTTGGATGAAATATTTGGAACCCTCTTCAGTAGAACAAAGAGCACAATCAGGGTTAAGGCAGACAATACCTCACGGATTTTCTCAACTGCCAGGGTGAAGATGTAAGCAATGACAATCCATTCCTGAACTGAAGGCAACTCTTCCATTTTCACGAGAACCACAAAGGTATACAGCATCAGGAAACCTATATACGCCAACTACAAAAACAAGTCAAACGTTAAATACCTATCTGGATAAGTAAAAAGATTCCAAGAAAAAAAAGTAGTTCCTTTATCACAACTAAAACCAACTCACCGTGTTAAACCAGAATTTCACTATTGGTGCATGATAAAAAGCATAAAACTTTCGTGTAATGGGAAGCCTCTTGGGTTTTATTATACTCTCCATATCATGCTTTCCATCAGAATTATCCAAGACCCTTACTTCTTTAAACACTTCCTAAGATTAAAGCAATATGTTTAAATGACCTGCATTGGAAAAGGCATGTATTCTTGTTATTAAAAGTACCAGATTGGATCCAGACCTAGTCACAGTCACTGACGTAGCAGCAACATAGTTCACTCATAGAGTAAAGGTCCCAATTCAATTCCCAGGATTTCTAAGCAGGACTGAAGAAACTTCTACTGAAGCTCCTGAGAACTGCTGTCAGTCAGTATCAGCAATACTCAGCTCAACAGATCAATGGTCCATCCTGGTCTATAGCAAGTTCCTAACTTGTTTCATTGACTTTAACAGGGCCAAGGATAACTAGCTCTGGATCCATTTAATGGATGTGAAGAGTTACCATTGGTATTTCTTCTGCTATGTTCTGAAAATTGTTTTCACTATCCTCCATGGTCATCTGATGTGCATCTTGGGACTGAGGAATATGAGACATTTCTGCCTTGGTTTTGTATTCCAGCATTAGTATAGTAGGGGGAAGAAGGATGCTCAATATCACCTGTAAGATGTAACATCAAACAATTTAAAGAATTATTTCCACACAGTAGTGCTTAAAAACACAACAGAAGGGGAAAAAAAAAAAATAGAACACCCAGCATACAGATTCCTCCTTCCTCTCCCCACCCTTATTCCAGCAAAATCTGTCAGGTAGCAAGTAAAAGATGTAGAAGAATGCTTCTATTGAGGAGCTACAAATAAACACAGACAATTCCATAATACTCCTGGGAGGTTGGGGGGGGGGAATACTAACAATTTCTAAATCATTATCCAACCAGATGGGTTTTTACTAATTTCCATCCTTCGTCGCATTTTTTCCCACAATATTGCATCCTGCCTTCTGCAGCCCATGCACAGATTTAACTAACTCACTCTTCCCAAGGCCATTTAAAAAATGAAGCCCAGCCACTTCTAATGAGCAAAATGATTCTCTGCTGATGAGCAAAGCAAGTGAGAGGCCACAAACCAAACCCAAGACAGACAACAACACGTCCTGTTTTAAAATGATACTTCAGGATGTTCTATAAAAGCCCTGCAGGTTTTACAGAAGTTTCTTATTTCGTTCTAACACAGTGGGGCAAATTTTCAGCATGGTGCCTGGAAAGAAATGGAGTGCCTGCTGTTAATCTAGTCTATATGACTTATTTGTCTTGCACCATTCTGAAAACTTAGCCCATTTGCACCCTGAGGAAGCTCTCACTTGCTCACTTCATGCTACTGAAATGAAGCATACATATGAAGACTTTCTACATCACGTTTTACTTTACTACCTGTAGGAAGCTTAATTACATTTCAGTTTTGCACAGGGGTTGAGTCTGTTAATGGGTCACCACTAAATTTTTAGTAGTATATTAGTTCTCATGATGAACTAGAGATCCATCTCCATTTAAGAGCTACTTGCCTGGATTCTGCCTTCTACATTTCTGTACCTTTTTCAAAAAAGATAATAAAGCATCAAAAGAAAAGTTACTGTGCATTCCAACACCAGCTCTAGCTTTGATTTTACACATCCCTAAATAAAAATGACACGGACAAAGACTACAGAACTACACGATTGAACTTGTTTCCTTTTTCATTTAAGTGCCATTACAATAATCCTAAAAGAACCCACTGAAAACAAAAATGTGCATACCTTGTACCATGAATTCTTCCTCATGTTCAGCCGTCCCATCCACATGTCAGATAATAACATCTGGGTACAAGTGTGTGCTACAAAAGGACGAAGGCGTGAAGACACGGCTAGTTTAAGGCAGGTGGCATTACTCCAGTTTTTTAGCTCATAAGTTAGCAATTTCATTGCCATCGTTTCATCTTGTCGAAAAGACTGCTCTAATAATTCCACTGCCAGCTCCCCAAACTCGCTGAGGAAAGGGATAAAAAGAACAAGACATACCTAGCTGAAGGTGCATATGAACAATAGGTACACAAACATCTTCACTAGTAATATGGAATGAGTGTGACATGCCTAGATGGACAGGATGTACCTATTTTAAAATTCTATACATTTAAGAGAGAGAAAGATAAGAAAATGAATTGAAAGGTTTTTTTTTTATAAAATAAAATAAAAGGTGGAACCCATTGGGTTCTTTTAACTTAATTCCAAGTACTTTTCTTCCTAAGGAGAAACTAGAAAGACTCCGAAAAATGCTTCATTTATCTTTATTCGCAACGTTCCTGGATCTTTTGCTGAATTTCAGAAAACAATATCTCACCAAACCAAATTAGAGATGCTAACACAAATGGTACTGGCTATCGTGAAGGAAATAAAAGGAAATATACAGTATTAGAATGAAATGTACAGTTGATTCTAACTGTGGGACTGTTGCTGTTTTACAAACTACAGTTTTGTTGAACAATAGTTTATGAAGTAACATAATTTTCCATCTATAAGACGCCCCCATGTATAAGATGACCCCCACTTTTCC